AGCATGCTGGAAAACGAAATTTATTTATGATTTTCCTTCCTTAGAGAAATGATGAATCACAAGAATCCAAAATCAAACCCTGAATATATTAGGAAAGATTCTCTCATTACAAAAGGACTCCAATTTATGAAAAATGTTGAGCTCACAATTGCCTTTAAAAATGAGGTTTTCAAAATACAATTATCATAAATTCCATTAACATGCAGTCATTCATAAGGACCTGCACCAAGTTCTTACTGTGATTCATCATCGTGATCTGGAAGCGAACCTCTGCTATGCCAACAACCTGCAAAGTCTGGCAGAGCTTATCAAATTGACAAGATCTTGGGTATAGCCCAATAATGAACTCAGTCTGTCATTCAGAGAGCAACATAGCTAAGGCTAGAAGTCATCTCCAGAGGGTTGGTCAAAAGGTGATTTTTCTTTAACTGCCAGGTAGGTAGACCTGACTACTGAGACATGGGGTTGGGAATATTCAAACTTAGGCATTCGCAATGAAATCTAGAAGGCCTGACATTTAATAAAGACTTGTACCCAAACCCCTAAATAGGAGGAATATATAAACAATAAAAAAGAATAATAACAACAAAGGAGTATCAGAAACCTGTAAGAAATGAGATCAAGAAGACCAGAGCCTAGAATGAGCCAAGGCCTCCAAAAAGGGAGATTTTGCTAAGGAAAGCAAACTGTTTTTGTCTACATTGGAACAAGAAATGGGAGTCTGGATAGAGAACTGGATTTTGCACCAGGAAGACTTGTTTTCATGTTCCACGCCCCATCTCCCCTGAAATAAGGAAAGAATAGACCTATATTTTTGAAGTGGTATGGTGTTAGCAACTAATTAGGAGTGGAACAGCTCAGAAAGCAAATTACTCAATTCTTATTTTTTCAACCTTAGGCAAATTTCTCTACCCTCCTATCCCTCAGTTTCCACATCTATAAAATAAGAGGATTGAAGTGGATGACTAAAATTGTATTTTTAACATTTTCTGTCTGGGACCTACTTATATGTCTGTGTGTTGTAGCACCATCATTGAATGTAAATTCCTTCAGGGTATGGACTGCTTTTAATTTTTGTCTTTAAATTCTCAGTTTCTAACAGAGTGCCTGGCACACAGAAAGGGCTTAATATGTATTTGTTGACCTAAATTGAATAGCTAAGGTCCCTTCCACCTCTAATCTTATAAAAATTATGAATCTCTGAAGGCCATTTATTAAGTAAAATCAGGTGCAGCTCTTCTACTTTTGGAACAAATTTAATTTTTTAATTTTTTTTTTAGTGAATCATGTTAAATCCTGTCTTTAGCATTCCTGTGCCACTCTAAGCAACATGAATGACTTGGCATTGTGGTGCTCAACTCAGAATCTATCAATGGCACCCAAATTTCACTATTCTAAAATCCCATCTCTTGGCAAAAGAAGAAAAGGAGAGAGAACAGGTGAGGGGCTGAAAATCAGTGAAGTCTATCAGTAATTCCTGCTAATAAAATACTTTTTCACTATCCACACTGTAATTGGTTTACAGCCCTTTTTGTTTATTTATCCATAAGAGCTGCTGTTAAATGGCTTGGGAAGAGAATTGCCTAATGGCTCAGTATTGAGTCAAATGCTCATCGTCCTCCCTAAGAAGGGAGAGAGACAGGGGGAGGGGGCGGGAACCTGCTCGCCGTCTCCTAGAGGAAACCCATTTCAACTATAATGGACCAGGAGATTTTATGATATCATGAAACCATACGTGTAAGAAATGCAAAAATACATTTTTTGCTCAGCGGGTTTACTAGCTTGGTTCTTGGGTGTCTGGTACATAGAAAATCCTTGTTAAGAGAGTCTGATGTCTTCCCGATATAAAAATGTGTTCTTTGGGATCCCCCTCCCCCACCCTTCACACACCTTGGCTAACTCTCCTCTCCCTAGCAGGTATTATAATATCTTAACAGTGGGAGAGGAAGAACATGCCCTTAATTGAAATGCCTTCAGCTTTTTAACCCCTGGTGTTTGCACAACCTCCATGTGTCATGTTTCTGACTGGGAGAGAGAGAGCAGCCTTGGAGCTAGTTTTTGCTGAGTTCCTTCTTTATGCAGAGGGCCAAGCAAGAAATATTAAATGGGAGTAAATGAAGCATTTAAATGGAGGCCAATTTACAGAAATGTGTAATTAGAGGAGAAGTGCAAAGTAAATATGAAGTGTGTGTGAGGAAAAGAGAGAGAGAGACAGGCTGAGGGAGGGTGGGAGATAGGCAGGCAGGAAGGGAGGGAGGGAGGGAGGGAGGGGAGGGAGGGAGGGAGAGCCTGTAATCGGGAGGCTTGAGTGAGTGAGTGAGTGAGCACAGGTAGGAAAACGATCTTTGTCCTTTTCAGTAGCTCTCCGCCTCCCCATAGCCTCGTCACCAAGTCAACCAGCACCAACTTGGAGCAGATTATCTCCAAGGGTCAATACATTTCAGCCAAGCTGCTGAGAAGTCTCCCAAACTACCCCTTCAATAATCAATGTGGTCACTCCCGGTCACTCTATTGATAGCATTGTGGTCTTCTACAGCTAATACTAAACAATGGCCTTATTGACTCCCTGGGAAAGAGAGATTAAAAGTGTGGGAGGGGGCAAATCTTTACCTCCTTTCACTATCTCTGCCAGGAGATTGCCACAGATGGCCTTTTTCCCTGAGGAATACATCAAAAGTTACACACGTACACACTTAACGTCTGCCTAATTTATATGCCTTTGCAGAATTTAGCCAGGTGGAAAGCGCTTCAGAACAGTGGTTCTCTGCCACTGACTACATGGGTGACTGGGAAATAACTTGGACCCCTTGGGCCTCTGTTTCTTCACTTTACTACCACTAGAATAGAGAGTAGCGGGTGGATTGGACTAGAGCAGGTATTCTTAACCTTTGTGTGTGTGTCTTAGATCTCCAGTAGTCTGGTGAAGCCTATGACTCCATTTCAGAGCAATACTTTAAATTCCTAAAATAAAATACATCTGATTACAAATGCTGAAAACAAGATATGATTTTTTTCCCCATTCAAGTTCATGGATCCCCTGAAATCTATCCACAGACCCCAAATTTGGAACTTTTGAATTAGATGGTCCCTAAGATTCCTTTTAGCACTACTAGCATTGTTTGATTCTATTTTACTTGGAAACTGCAATTTTCGAACACTTTAAGGTCTTTTCTTGTGCCCTTCCCTAACTTGAAATAAAACATAATAGATAATCCCGAGCCTTCTTAAAAAGGGGAAATTTGAAAAGAGTAAGTTTTCTGAAGGACTTTTAAAGTGCAAAATGAAATCTGACAGCTTCAGAATACAAAATGTCTACTTAACATCTAATCCATTTCAGATAAATATGAATTGGTTTGTACTAGAATGAATACATGCCATTCCAGAGCACTCAGCAAAGTTTCCTTCCCTCTCCTTGGTTCATTATTACAGAGTGGTTTGGAGTTTTTTTATGCTTAGTCAACAAACATTCAGTAAGCCTACTATGTGTCAGGCACCGAGCTAAGCCCTGGAGATGCAAAGAAACAAACTTCCAAAAGCTTAGAAGATTTCCATTACGCAAGCGTCCAGAGAGTTTAGGAAACCGAAGGGGCCCATCCCTAAACCCTACTTTTTCTTCTATCTTGTTGTTGGATTCAACCACCGTGGAATGACTACTTAGGAATGACTCTATAGATTCCTCCTTCACGACTATGCAGGTGTACCTGTCGAGATTTGTTCCACAAAAGCAATCTGGACGATAATCACTCCGAAAAGGGTTCTATGCACTAGCTTTGGGACTATGTATTTTTTTTGGCATCTTCTCCCAGATTGGGAGAATGATTAATTTTTTTTTAAGTATGTGCAGACATTTCAGGCTTTATGCTTAATTGCCATACTTTGGACATTTTCATGAACTTGCATGCAAAATTGCCCTAGAAGTGCTAATAAAAGAGGGAGTCTGTCACTAGGTCAACACGTAAAAGTTTATATCCATTGCCTCATCACTTAGGTCGGAGAAAGTTGAGTTTTAACCCGTGTTTTGTGTTGTGTTGTTTTTCGCTAGCGGTCCTTTGATGGAAACCACCAGGTGAGCTGACCAGAAGACAGCTCAATTCCCCAAAAGGCAAAATCAATTGTTTTCCACAAACATAACATATCCGAAGCTGACATTTGCACGCTGGAGAGACCTCAGCAAGCATCGAGCTCAAAAGGGGATACTGTTCTCATTCGCTAAAACTATTCGGGGTCATTGTTCGCCTATTTCAGTAATTGGGAACGAAAACTTTGGCTGAAAGGTGTTTGTGTTGTTTATATAGAGTTTATTGAAGGCCCAAGTCATTGTAGGACTTTTTGCAAAGCGCTTTCCTCATTCCTCGTAGGTGATGTGAATATTGATATCTCGTTTTACAGATGAAGAAACTGAGGTTCTGAGAGGGGGAATGACTTGTTAGTAAGTTTAGAAGCTGGTCCGGGAATCCAACTCGCCTGACTCTCAGACCGGTGTTCTTTCGGTCACGCCACAGCATTCCAAGCCACGCTGCTTCTAGGGGTATGTGTATGTGCGCATGCAAGCAACACGGGGTTTTGTTTGGTCTGTGCTTTGCACAGACAAGAGAACCCGGCGGAAAAAGAGACAGCCTGGGGGCATATCGGTAAAGTACCTGTAATAAAGAAGTTTGGGCAACAGACTCCTTAGGAGGAAGGTGGAAAACGAAACAAACCCGAGAAAGCAAGGGCTTTCAGGTACCTGGATATTCTCTCTAAGGGATTGGCTGGCCCAATGGGGAGCCTGGGCGGGGCCACGTGGGTTGCTGCGGAGCCTATGGAGCCGAGGCGCTGAGCCATTCAGTCCCGGTCACCCCTCCAGGTTCTGGTGAGAACCGCACGAAGCTGTCAAAGTGAGCTGGCCAAGTGCGATTTGCCGGAGTGCTGTGGGCCAGGGGCCGCTGAGGTACGTAGGGGAGCTGCGGGACGGAACGCCACGTAGAGCTCCCTTGCATCGCCTAGGTCCCTTGCCAGCCATGAACGCCGAGGAGCAGTACTACGCTGCCACCCAACTCTACAAGGAGTCGTGCGTGTTTCAGAGGTGCCAGGTGCAGGATTACAGTCCCAGCCCCCCAGCGTGTCTGTACATGGGGCGCCAGCCTCCGCAGCAGCCGCAACCCCCTTACCCAGGGGCCCTAAGCGCCCTGGAGCAGGGCAGCCCTCCCGACATTTCCCCTTATGAGGTTCCCCCTATCACAGAGGATCCAGGGGTCTCCCACCTCCATCTTCACCATCCCTCTCAGCTTCCTCACCCGCACCAGCAAACTGTCCCCTTCGCAGATGGGATTGAGTCCGGGACTCTGGAGGAGCCCAGCAGAATTCAGCTGCCTTTCCCGTGGATGAAATCGACCAAGTCTCATGCATGGAAAGGGCAATGGACTGGTAAGCTCGGTTGTTTTTGTTTGTTTCATGCCCCTCTTCTTGTCCACCATGCTTGATTCCTTTCCACCAGTTCAACCACCTCACAACCCTGTCAGTTTCCCCTTAGTCTACACTTCCATCACCTCCTTCCAGCACGACATGCCCCCTGGATCTTGGCAAAACCTGCATGCGGGAGCTCCGTCCTTTTCAACCACCGGCCTCTCCTCCAAGAAAATTCCTTTGCGTGTTTCCTGTTTAAGCAAAAAATTGTAAAACGTTATCAATAAGTCTTAAACAAAAACAAAACACCCACCTAGTCCACCCCCACTCGTCATCTGATCTCCCCATTTGCTGCCAGATTTTTTCTCCAAATGGCGGGTGGGGAAGCAAAAGTCAGAGATGGACTTAGGGGTCAGTGTGATTCCCTGACAATCCTGCTCACATCTGGAGAAAAGAGACCCAAAGCCACAGGCCAGGTGCTCTCCAAGAATGCAGGGCCCTACCTAGTAGTGGCCCACACAGCCCAAATCAAACAACAGGAGTAGCAGACAATAATAGATAGGTGATAACTAGGATAATGCTGAGATGCACAATGATAATTAGTAACACACTCAGGCTCTGCACCCCGATGCCTGCTTTAGAGTCTTCTGGTTAAAACTGCTTCTCCAGGAAAGGGAGAACTTTATATGGGACCTAAGATTATTCCAGACTTGGGATCAGGGAAAGAAAAACGGCATTCAAGGACAGAAGAAGGAATCTAGAAAGGTGGGCCCAGAGTCAGAGAAAAGAAGCAGGAACTGGGAGCAGTTCTTCTCCCAGCATATTGGCTTATTCCAGGAAAAGTCAGAGAATGGTGTGCTGGAAGCACCTTGGAAGGTCTGGGTTCTCTGATCCTAAGGTGAATGAAGCCTTCCCATTCTTGTTCCTCAATAGACAGTTTGAAGGGCTCATTGAGATAGAGCAGTGAGGTTCAACCACTGGTGGTGGGGGGGTGAGGTTCAAGACACTTGAGCTCCCTTTCCACTTTGCAAGGCTCCGGGGCCCAACGACATTGGTGCCAAGGTCAAGATCTCCCTCATTGCAAATGAGGAAAGAATCAGTGGTGGAGTGGCAGGCACCCCAGCTAGCCCCCTGAGTTCAGGCCCCTTGGCAGGCCTGTCTAAGCCCCAAGTCATTCCTCCCCTCACTCTTACCCACTGCACCCCTCCCCCGTCCCCTGAGAAGCCCAGGTTGAGAGTTCAGCTGCCGCACAGCCAGTCTCTGTCTCAGTAGCCGCACAATGTTATCGCATCTGGACTGGTGCACTTCTGGTCACACCTGCACTGCAAATATTTCATTAATCCTTTCTTTCAAATAGACAGTTGGGAGAAGGGGGGGACAGTCTCTCTACTGAGCTCACAGAGAAATCACTGGGTCCTTTCACCCGGCCTTGGTCTGTGCTTGTCTGGCCTGAGACAGGGAAGGCTGAGTGGGAAAATCAGGATTTCAGTAGAGGCGGGATACTGGCCCTCAGGATGCCAAATATTTAGGGTTTTTTCCTTTTATTTTTCCTGTAGGGACTGGTATAAAGAGTCAAAGAAATATAGCTGGAGTTAGCCTAAGATGAAAAGGATTTTATTGTAATTTTCTCCTAAGTGGGAACCCCCTAAGTAAAGATGACCCAGCTGCTTGGGAATGATGTAGGAAGGGCTCCTACTTCCCAGAGAGGCTCCAAGGCCTCAGACCTCAGTGGGTTGGAAAATAGCAAGTTTTTCTTGGGAATGGGAGGAGGCAGTGAGTCCCAAGCCCTCTCCTCCAGTTGTAGACATTCAAATCCTCAGAGGAACCTTCCCCCAGATCCATTCTGTATTTTCATCCCCCAGTCTCTCTGCTACTTTCCAACAGCACTCAGGGTGGCTGATTGAGGGGATGAAGATGTCCAGAAACTCAGGACTGTGGGGTCCTGCTTTGTTTCAGTCCTGGGCTAAGCATCCCTCCCATGAAGGGAAACAGCAGAGGAAAGTGATTGGGGGAAGTGAAGTTCTGAGTCTGGGGCAAGAGCAAGGTCAACAAAACAGCCCCTCAGCTGGGCTCAGACTAGACACACAACCAGCACTTTGTGTAGAAGCTAGAGGAGAATTTCTCCTGGGGCATGGAGGACTAAGAAGGAATGAAAGAGCAGGAGGAAACCATTGGGATAGAAGGGACAAGTGTCTGTCTTTCCCTAGGAAAAGGATCTGGTCCTTCTGTCTGAACTCCCTTTCTGATCTTATTTTCTGCCACTGGTTTTGCCTCTTCCACACAAAATCTGGCTGAAGATAAAATAAATCAGTTAATATGCACTGGGAGGGATGCGCCCAAGTCACAGGAAGAATAGCACCCACCCTCACCCCAAGCAGAAGTTCCCTCTCCTCCTCTCTCTCTGTCTCTGTCTGTCTGTCTCTCTCTCTGTCTCTCTCTGTCTCTCTGCTTCTATCTCTGTCCCTCTGCTTCTGTCTCTCTCTCTGTCTCTCTGTCTCTGTCTCTGTCTCGTCTCTCTCAAGTTACATCCAGGGAGTTGTGCTTAGGTCTTGTTTTCTTGAAATGTCTGTGGAACAAGAAATCTAAGGGGTTAGGAAATGTCTAGACTGTAATGGAAGTGGATAGACAAAAGAGGAAGAGGGTAACCAGGAGACAGTGGTAAAAAATTGTCTTCTGGCTTCTAGGCCACACTGGACTCCCACCTACCCCTATCATGCTTTAGTATTAAAGTTTCATTAGACAGAGCTGCTGGGAAATTTGGATATCAGCCATGTTCACCACTCCAATGACCATGGTGAGGAGAAATTATTGATAATAAAGACGTTTTGAAAATTATCCATGCACGATCTGCAAAAACTACATTGCCTATTGATGTCCCCTAGGATCTCTCCCTCCAGCATCTCCTGAGCCCTGGGTCCCTTGCAACAAAGCAGGGGAACAGAAGTCTTGTTGTCTTTGAGTTTTTGCAGACAGAGAATATTAATAACCCAGCCAGAGTGGGAGGTGGAGAATGGGGGTCACTTGCATAGAGCATTTAAAACAAAATTAACCACAGCACCCTTTGACTGCCTTTTTGTGACTGTGGAGCTCAGAACCCTGCTGGAGGCCTCAAGTTAAGGATGAAGAAGGAGGCCTTTGAAAAATCTGGTTGGAAATGACAGGGAATACAAGCTCCAAGTGGGGTACAGAAATACTGCAACTTACAGGATCAAGCAAAGTATTTCTGCATTGGGTGTCATTTGGAGGGAGGGGAATGCTCACATCCACACCAACAGATCATATATATATAAAATATGTACATACATTATACATTATATGTGCATGTATTATATATGTACATACATTATACATTTTATATATATGTATATGTAGTCTTAGTCTTAAGAGGGATCTTGGCATCTCCAGATTCTAGTGACAGTGAGAATGTGGATTTGATTTGAATTAGGCCTTCTACTAAGGAAGTTTTTTTTTGTGGGTGGGGGGAGGGGAGGGAGAACTCTCCTGCTCTGGGCCGGAGCCTGCTTCCAGGCTCTGAGACCCTTGGAGATCGAACCTCACTAAAAGTAAGCGTACTTCCCCAGGTCCCTGCCATTTTTTGCCGCCTCCTTTCCGAATGCAGGACCGCGGAAATCGTGAGCCAGTTTTTCCTAGTTTTGTGGTTGTTGTTGCAGTTTGTTTTTACATTCTCCCTTTTACGTGTGAGAGTTTAATCAGGGTTTTTCTGACTGGTAAAACTGAACTGACTCCCTCTCTTTCACACCACCACACCGAACATTTTCCAGGGCCTCCTACTTCAGTTCAAAGAAAAGAAATTTGAGTGGAAGTGGGCCGAATCTTCACGGACCAAGACTCATTTCCTCTCTTGAACGTTTTAATAGGGCATTCCTCACTCACGCTAAAAGAATCGTTTGTTATTTAATTCTATAGAGTAAGAAAAATCCCACCTGAACTACTCAGAGACACCATTCCCCTAAATTACAAGATAAATGTAGCTCTTGGCCTACTCTAACCACCACTTCTGGAACGGTGATGTAGGATTTAAGTCAAACAGTAGCCCTTTCACTTTACCTTCAGCCCATTTCGCTTGGCTTCGGAGGAACCCGGAAAAAGATGAGGACTGGTTCTCAGCGTCTAGTCTTTCTCCACCGCTGTTTCTCGATCCAGGCTCAAGGGAGTCGAATTTGGTTCCGGGTGGAAGCTGACGCCATCCACTGCTGCACAATTCTACAAGGTGTAAATGAGCTTGACCCTAGAACTTCGACAGCAGTCAATCACTTGGTTGGACTGTTGTTTAAAACTGAGTGGATGGATAGATGAACTAGGACTCCCAAAAAGCAGAGTGGGTTAATGGGTAGGGAGCCAGTCTTCAAATCAGAAAGCCTAGGGTTCAAGAACAGCCTGACACAGTGTAGATACGTGTGATTCTGGAGAAATAAATCACTTAAGCTCTCAGTGCCTCCAGGCAACCAACTTTTCTGGACTATAAACTAAAAGTTGCAGATCTGCATTCCCTCATTGGGAATTCTTTAAGCCAATGAAATCACATTGTCCAAAAAAAAAAGTTATAAAACCGAATATAATAATGGCAGGAATAGCCTCTGTTTCCTCCTGTATAAAGTGGAACTATTAATGCCTGTAGCACCCAGGGATTTTGTGAACTTCGAAAGAGATATAGTTCTTTGCAAACTTCAAAGTTATATATAGTAATTTAGTAGTGACTTTGATTAGTGATGGTTGTGGTGGTAAGTGCAATAACGAATACCACCGCATACTAGGTGGTTGCTGTTTAATCTGCATTGATAGTGTGGGTCAGCCGTAAAGACTAAATGAGCAATGTCACTAACGTGCGTCCGTCCGATCCCTGACAGGCGGCTCTTACGTGGTGGAGCCGGAGGAGAACAAGCGCACGCGGACCGCTTATACGAGGGCGCAGCTGCTAGAGTTGGAGAAAGAGTTTCTTTTTAACAAATACATCTCTCGGCCTCGCCGGGTGGAACTGGCGGTCATGCTGAACCTAACCGAACGACACATCAAGATCTGGTTCCAGAACCGCCGCATGAAGTGGAAGAAAGAAGAGGACAAGAAGCGAGGTGGGGTGACCGGAGCAAGGGTTGGCGGCAAGGAGCCGGAGCAGGACTGCGTGGTGTCCTCTGGGGAGGGGGCCAAAGAAGAGCTGCTACAGCAACCTCCGGGGGTGACCGTGCAGTCCGTGGCCCCTGCTGCCGCCTCTGCCCGGGAAGCGAGACTGCCTCCGAGCCTTAGCATCTCTCCCCAGCCCCAGCCCCAATGCCCCAGTGCCCAGGCTGCCCGGCCGCAGGAATCTCGGTGAGAGTTTGGGCCCCCTTCGAAGCCCTCTAGGAAGCAGGAGACCAAGACTAGGGAGCCCCGGGCGTCTGTCTGCTGGGGGCAGGAGTCAGGGAGAAGTGCCTCCTCCACCCTCCACTGCTGTACTCACTGTCTGAGTCTAGAGGAGAGAGACTGCGCAGCCTTGTGCTCAAAAACTTTTGCGCGCAAACATGGGGGGGGGGAGAGAGAAGCTGCAATTTTTGTGTTTTTGTTTTTTAAATTTTTAATTCTTTTTCTGATGTTGCCTGGGGGTGACGGGAGCAATGTGGTTTTGCTTTGAGTCACAAGTCTGGCAGGCGCCTCTGAAACTCCTTAACAGGTTTCTCCAAGCCAAGCTCGGGAGAGTCTTTGCCAGGAGCTTATCCCTAAGAGCAGCCTCTTCGAAATAAAAGTAAATTAAATTAAACTGTGCTCTGCCACCTAAATTTATGGGCCTATGTTTGCTACTGCCCACGCAGAGGGCTGCAGGAAGGGAAGGTGAGGGAATCGGCGAATCATCACCCCTTCCAAATAACTATATTATTCATCTCAAAACCTTTGCTGTCCAAAATATGACTGCTTAGATATAGAATGAACCATTCCATAGACGTTTCTTTCTGGTTTAGCACCAGCGTAAAATTCTGGCCGTGGTCCCTTTTAACGCAGTTGGTATATCAGGTTACAGAGAAAGTGATGCATTTGAAGTTTAAAACAAACTCATTCGAGCAATCTCAAAAAATTGTCACCCAATGATGGTCCCTTTTACTGAAGATATAGAAATAACGGAATATGGGGGAGGAAATGCTGTAAAAGGAGGGGAGGTGGACAGAAAGTTCTTATGTATCTGTTCTGCACTCTCTCCTGCCTACTGCTCTCAAACACAGAGCGCGCAGACAGAGGAAAAGACAGGAGTGGGCAATTGGGAGAAACGTCTGGCGGCAGGAGGCTCTTAAGCAAGCACTCCCTAAACAAAATTAAGTTAAATTTTTCTGTTTATGATCCGCATTTACATCCCAAAGCAGAGCATCTAAGGAACCCCTGGTGAAGATAAACCTGGATTTTTCTGGAGTTTATAAAGAATTTTAATTGTGTCGCTAAAGAGGACTTTGGATGTCTGCTAGAGGTGGGAGCCCAGAATTTGCACTTACATATATATGCATATATGTGTACGTATACATGTATACACACATATGTATGGATGTGCCCATATAAGGTTTTAGCATCTTTAAGAATGAGAGAAATGAGAAATTAATCTCAGTCCTGGATAGGATGATTTCTCGCTGTGGATTAGGGGGAGGAGAGGACCACATCTATGTTTCATTGTCATAGAAAATCCTAGTTATGAAATTCCCTCAATAAACACAGATCAGTACAGTTCGGTCCCTTAGAGTCTTAGCAGCAAGGAAAGGTTAAGCAATCGAGAGTCACTTAGCCAGTAGAAGTCAGAAGCTAGACTAGAATCCGGCTCTCCCTGAGTCCTAGTTCAGATCTCTATCAGCTATTCTGCCTCTTAATAGTTTAAGAAATAACTCAATCGTACTTTATGAAAGGCTCTATATGCTTTGGGGTGCATTCTCTGGTGTCAGGCATACCAAACATCACTTTGACATCAGGTGACATTTCTGGAAAACATCCAATAAATCAATTTTTTAAAATGTTGTGATGAAACTAAGCTCCCTTCTCATCCTTATAGAGATTCAGCTTACCAAAACAGTCCTAAAGAATATATTGATTTTATTAGGAAGAAAAGGAAAATAAAGTTGAATTCCCATGCTAATAAAACCAGTAGCTATTTTTAAAAAATACTTACATGATGTTTGTAATACATTCTGAGGGTGCTTTTTTGGTTTGGTTTGGTTTTGTGAGGATTAGTCGCAAGTTCCTTGGGCGAAACTAGTCCCATGCATCCCTCGAGCAGAGCTGGGGGGTGAGGGGGAAGAGGTAAGGGGAAATAATGGGTAGGGAATTTAACACTGCCTACTGGCTAACCCACAAAATAGATAATCCATGGATGGTAAGTATATATGACACAATGAAGCCTAGCTGGAAAATCATCGGTTTTTGAAACCCATCTCTGAAGAGAATTGTCTTCTCAGTTGGGAGATAGCCACCAAGATGAACCAGCCTACTAAGGCCATTTTTAAACAATAAAAAAGAAGAAAAAAATTCTCCTACTTTCTTTAAAGGTCCTCCCCTCCAAAAAAATTGAATATTCTGAAAGTCTCCAGATTCCAAGTGCCCATCTATCTCTCGGGATGGGTGGTTGATTTCGTCGCCAACAGACTTGGCATAGAATGCACTTTGAGTCTTCTAGGCTCTTCTTTTTCCTCTCCTCTCATATTCAGAAGAATAAAATCAGGGCTCATAGATGTAGAACTGGAAAAGACTCCAGGAATCATTTAGTCGAACCCATTAATTTTACATATGAAGAAATCACTGAGGTCCAGTGAGATGAAGAGAATGGTCCAAGGTCACGTTGGCAGTAAGCATCGTGGGTGGAATTTGAACCCAGAGCCTACAATTCTCTTTGCAGTGCTCCAGGATCCCCCTTTGGGTTTCAGAGAGACTGCAGACCTAGGGCTAGTAGGCTGACTGAGCTGGCTGTGTATCTCCCCCGCCCCGGGCCCTGGCTATTTACCTATGGGTTGAGCGGGGCATCACGAAGGAGAAAGTGAGTCAAGAGCAGGTAAGAGCAGTGGTAGGAAGCTGGCCCCAGGGCCCGGGGTCTCTTCTCCTCAACTGTTCTTAGGTGCGTTCGTTTGGACCTACGACTCTAGGATGCTGGGACCACAGTCCTTCAGTCTGAGGCAGATCCTGAGCCCAAATTTCAAAATTATCAGTATTTTCGCCCTACAGTACTGGTCCCCTACGGTAGTCTCGAGTCTCTCCCTCTCCTCTTCCCTTAGGGAATTCTGGACTCTCAGGCCAGTGTAATGATACTAATTGTTTCGCTGCACGGCGTAAACGGAAGCAAGCTGCGGCTGGACGCAACTAGCACTCAAGCCGGCTGGGGGATGCCAGCGCCTGCAAAGGAATAAGCTGCCCTCGAGGACTCATGGACGCTCCGGTTAGATCTTCCTTTCCAGCTTCCCTCGGTTAATCCTGGTAAATCGCGGCCAACTCTTTTCCCTAGATCGTTAAGTAGGCTCTTGCCCTGGAAAGAAGAAGGGAAGGAGGAGGTGAATGTTCAGAGGAAAACTTTTCCAGCTCCCACCACCTCCCAGCTCTGGTTTAGGGATCTCCGGCTGCCAGACACCTGAGAAAGGCAAAATCCTTGCGAGTCCCAAGGCAGCCATACCTAGCGCCTAGGTCCAGGGCGGTCCTGTGGAGTCCTGATTCCTTCGCTCCCCGTCGGATAGTGGAACCGGACTAAAGGGACTCTCCACGGAAGAGGAGCCAAAGCCAGACACAGGGGGCCCGCTGCAGGAATGACGAACTCAGTGGGAAGGCATAGGATGCGGGGGTCCACGCTGGTTAGGTCACCACCACCTTCCTCCCTAGAACGTATAAAAGGAATCTTGAATCTTGTCACCCCGATAACATCCTAAAGTCCTCCCGGGAGAAGAACTTCTGACCTTCCCGGTGGAACCCCGAGGTCAGACTTCCCCGAAGGCTTCAAGTCTAGGGGATGGGAGACGGGGGAGAGGAGGGGGTGGAGACTGAGGAGCAAGAAAGGCACCTAAATCACTGAAAACGTTAGGGAAGGGAAGCTGGCTGGGAAATACGTTCCAGCTGTTAATCTCTGACCCAAACCCATCCAGCTTTCCCACCTGAGTCTGGAGAAAGCCACTCTGATAGCAGTAGTCAATGTGTCAAAGGCAATGTGATTTCACTTTCGCAATAAATCCTTTCCAGGAAGCAGACAGTAACTTGACTTTTGGGATCTTGACTTAGACAATTACCAGAGGCTAAGTGACTTGCTTAATTGTCGGAGGCGGGATTTGAACCTTAGCTGCTTCTCCCGCCAAACATCATCGTCCTGAATCCTTCCCGCGAGTGTCTTAGGACCACAGAAAGGAGGCTAGTGTCGAGAGAGGTCAAGTTCCTGGGCTGGGGACTAGCACTCAGCTTTGAGGAAAGAAGGGGTGGTGCTGAGTGGCCCAGGAGCTCTGGGTTAGCGCTCAAAAACTCAAGGTGTTGGCTTTAAGCCAGAAAGCCCTGTTGGAGGGAGCAATTTCTCCCTTGGCTGAGAACTGAGAACTCTCCGCGTTTCCAGCCTAATCTCAGGATTTGGAAAAAATGACCAAAACCAGAAGGGAAAGGAAACAAGGAGGCTCCTGTCACCTCTGTCTGCCACCCGCCGGCCCGCAGGCAAGGATCCACAGAAGCTTTTTTTCTGGTAGAATAGAAATAGCTCTGAATTTGGAATCAGTATTTCAAGCTGTGCATCCTTGACTAGTCAGCCTCTCTGAGCATATTTTCTCGTCTGCAAAGTAGGGCTAATGATAATTTCTTCTACCTACTTCACAGAGGCACAAATAAGATGACATATTTTAAATTCTTAGTAAATTAGGTGGCGTATAAGACCCTGCTAGATTCCATTCAAATTCTACTTAATTGTTCCATTTCTTCACACACCTAAATAAGGAAGCCCCCCCACACACACACAGACATCCATTATTCAATGCCTTTTTTGAGTATTAACAGATAATCTACTTAATTCAAAAACGAATTGGTCAATTCATTTATTCTTATTGCCAAATTGCATATATTCTTTGCTCACCTCCCCTATTATTATACTGATACCTCTAGTTAGTCATGTAGGAAGCACACCACTAAAATAGTTCTGGGAATTAACAAAAAAAAATGATAACCTGACCGTGTAATCTATATAAATGTTAGAATTCTTTTTCTTCTCAGTCAGAGGACAATCCACAAGCCGCTTTCGGCCAGTTGAGTCGCAAATGAGTAAAGAACAGCTGCGGTGGCTTTCTCCTGAGGCTGACTGTGCAGCTTTAGGAAAAAGTCAAACAAGAAGACCCTGACCCAGTGGGCGTTTCAGTGGAGACGCATTTTGGCAAACTGGGATTCCTTTTTCTAGGGTTCTTCAGTTTCCTTATCCTAGAAATGATGGAGTTGCAGGTGATAGATCCCGAACTCGCTTCTACCTCTCCATCTACTCATGGTTCTACGATATGTCCTGTTGTCTTGTTTCCAGCAGGGCACCCCTCGGGTTATATTTCTGACACTTTTTTGATCTGCAAGGCGCCTAGAAGGATGTTCTCCTGGGACCTCTATTGCCTTCCATTTGTTCTTGCAAATAAAGAAAAATTAAGAGAGAAAAAATATATTCACTTAAAAAAAAAGGTACCTAGATAAAACTTCCTCTCCCCACCTCGAGAATCTGAGCTTCATGAAGATTCGAGAGTTGCGGGGAAATGTAACGGTTGTTCCCTAATTTGTTACTTTCTTGATTGAAAAGGTGCGCTTGGTCAAGCGTAGGCAGCTGGCTCCTGCGCACGGTGTAAGCCTCCGGTGTTCTTTACACAACATCTAAACCCAGAGTGCCCTCAATGACTAGGATTGTAAACCGGCTCCCATCCTCATTCAAAATCCTTTGAGGGAAATGTCGAGACCCGCCCCTGCCCCCTATTTCCTGCTGTTATTGGTCCGGGAGAAAAAGAAGCCAAAGGATTGCGGAACTCTGCAGAAATTCCCCGAGGGCGCGGGCTACTGATCTAAGGGCTTTAGAGTCTTGGGGAGGACAATAAAGAGCAAGTGTTCCCGCTCCCCTTAATTGTTAGTGCAATGCAGACTGGTTGTGCGGGAACCCATTCAGATCCTAAATTTAACTTCTCTATCCTCCTGCGCCCCTGAAAATCCTCAGAGAGCGACAGATGAAGTGGGACCGAGGCCACTGTGGGGTGGAAAATGTTACTGTAGCCACCGGACTGGGATTTGGGGGGTTTGGGGGATTCTCCCTTACCACTCTCTGCTCTCTCTTCCCGAGATCTCGTCCCGCAGCCAATGGTCCATCTCAGAAATTTAGTTAGTAAAGACAGATGAGCCAGGCAAGTATCAAAGGGTTGTCTTCTTCCAGGAACAATATTTCCCAATGTTTCCAGAAGTATGGTATTAAGTCCTTACCCTTGGAAGGCAACAGAAGCATTATAGGTTGATTTTACACTTGAAAATTCATAACGTGAGGCTTGGGATTTTGAGGTTTATTATTTTCCTTTTCTTACAGGCATCTGATTTCAGTATAAGTCGTGCCAGATTAAGCAACAGGTGACTGGTGTCTTAGAATTCACTTTCTTAGACATTTTTTAAGCTGAATTGTTGTCTTTTATTTTATTTTTTTTACACCAGTCATTTCCTGATTACCTTTCCCTCAACTCTCCCTTGTAACACAGAAAGAAGTTAAGCAAAACTACCTGGTCTGGCAATGTATGTATATAGATAGCATTGCATATTACTAGTCTCCCTACCTCCTGCCACCCCCTCCCCCCCCATAAAAGGAAGGAAGTGTTTCATCATCTGTTATGGTCATTTTAATTCATCAGAATTAGGTTACCATTCAATGGTGTTCTTCTACATTATTTCATACAAAGTGTGTATTATTCTCCTGGTTTTGCCAACTTTATTCTGAATCAGTCTATTCAGGCCTTTCTCTTTTCCTAAGTCCTCATGGCCCTCATTTCTTACATAGTATTAACTAATATTTATAGTATTCTATTATGGTCATCCCCCAATCCATTGGCATATATTTTGTATCCAGTGCTTTGCTCCCACAAAAAGTACTTCTACGAATATTCAGATGGGTATGTGACCTTTCTTTCTGCCTTTGACCTCTGTGGAGTATATGCTCCAAGGTGGGATGGCTAGAGGGTGTCTATAATTTTTAAATTGGTCTATTTACTCCTAATTGGGTTCTTTTGCAATACCCAAAATCCTAAACAAGTACTGAGATGTAATATCTATGTCTTCAGGATACAGACCAGATATTTGATTATTCCATAAGTGCACTGAACAGCTAATCTGGGCCATTCAATGTTCCAAATTCTTCCTTTGATTCAATGCAGGGTTTGTTGCCTTGCCATATTAATTTTTCTCCACCCACTTAACACCAAAAATTCCCTATGACTTTCTCTCTAATCAAAGCTATAAATACACACTCAAGGGACTGGTCTACCAGGTTTGAGGTCTACCGTGACCACTCAGTGATGTTGACTGTGAGCAAATTATTTAAGCTATCTGAATTTCAGTTTCTTCTTTTGTAAAATGGGCTTAATAATCCTTGCCCTACTTCCCTCACACAGTTATTTTAAGGAATAAATTAACCTCTGTGAGAGCACTTTGTTACCATAAAGGATTACATAAATGCAATACATTGCATCTTTGAAATGCTCTTTTTCCTAGACATTTATACTATCAATCAATAAGCATTTTTAAGCACCTGCTACATGCAAGACACTGCTAAATGCTGGAGACACAAAAAGAGGCAAAAGAAATTCTCTGCCCTCAAAAAGTTCACAATCTAATGGGGGAGACAAAATGCAAACAAATATATGAGTGTGTGTATTTATATATAACAAGCTATGTACAGGATTAATAGTAAGTAATTAACCAAGGGAAGGCACTAGACTTAAGAAGGATTGGGAAAGCCTTCCAATAAGAGAAGAGATTTTAGTTCGGACTTAAAGGGAGCTACTGTTTCATTATCTTTCCAACCATTGGCTAAATGCAATCCTTGGCTGTCAACATATGTCTTGCAGGAGGCAGGATTGTCTTAGACTCTTAAATACTCAGGCAGCCAGAGTACCACACAGCACCATCCACAAGAGATTAATAAATGTTCTTCAGTGATGATGATGAAAAAATATCTAGATCACTGTCTGAACTTCCTCAGCTGTGGAGACAAGATCTTTGAGGACTGGCAAATGTGATATCTGGGAGAAAAGAAATTAAAACAAGATATCTGGGGATGTACAAAGACCAGTTTGAAATAAAGAAATTATTGAAAGGGGGATTAAAATTTAATTTTATATGCAAAGATAACACAAAACAATTTCTTCAGCTTCCTCTAGGAGTTGTATTTCACCTAAAATGGATCATCCACAGGTAAGTCCAAGATCTGCACTGAAAAGACTTTCTCCTCACTTGTTCTGGCCTGTACTCTTTGGATACTTACTAGCTGTGTGGCCCTGGCTGAACCTTGATTCCTCCTCTGTTCAATGATGCTAATGATATTTAAGTAACTTGCCTCCCAGGGTTGTTGTAAGGAAAGGACTTTGTAAACTTCAAAGTTCTATTGAAATATGAGTTCTCATTTCACCTTAATGTGCCTGCTAGGCTTGACATGATAGTGGGGAAAGATTAACAGTTCTCTGGCCATAAGCTGAGGTGGGCAACTGAGAGCAGGGAGGATCCACTTCACTACAACTTTCAATGATACCACTCTTGGATCACTGAGTTGATGCTACAAGAAAACCTCAGCAAAGAACAACCAGTCCATTAGCTATGAAAACCTTCTGAGCAAAGGCACTGGATAGAAAGAAAGGTGGGTGAGATTTTAAAATAGCCTCAAATACTGCAAATAATTACAACTGCAAACCAAAAGAGAGTCAGGATGTGTTGGAGGCATAAAAAGAGGGGGTTGTACCTCCAAAATTTGAATATTTATATATACCTGTAATGTCATCTCTCAATACTGAATGACATATATTTGCATTACATATGTAGGTATATAAAGCGTGGACATTTCTTTTTTTAATTTTTTAATTATTTATTTATTTGTTTTTAATTTTCAACTTTCACTTCCATAAGATTTTGAGTTTTAAATTTTCTCCCCCTCCCACTTCTCCCCCCCTAAAGATGTCATGCAATCTGATACAGGCTCTACTTATGCACTCATATTAAGCATATTTTCCCATTATTCATAATGTAAAGAAGAATTAGAACTGATGGAGGTGGGGAGAACCACAAGAATAAAAAGAAAGCAACAAAAGAAAAGGAGAATGAATAGTATGCTTCAATCTGCATTCAGACTCCATAGTTCTTTCTCTGGATATGGATAGCATTTTCTATTTTGAGTCTTTTGGAGTTGTCTTAGATCCTTGCACTGCTGAGAAGAGCCAAGTCTATCAAAGTCAGTCATCAAACAGTGTGGCTGTTGCCGTGTATGACATTCTCCTGGTTCTGTTCACTTCATTCAGCATCTGTCCATAAAAGTCTTTCCAGGTTTTTCTAAAGTCCACTTGCTCATCATTTCTTATAGCACAATAGCATTCCATTACATTCATATACCACAACCTGTTCAGCCATTCTCCAATTGATGGGCATCCCCTCAATTTCCAATTCTTTGCCATCACAAAAGAAGCTGCTATAAACATTTTTGTACATTTGGGTCCTTTACAATATTTCATTAAAATTCCATTATTGTGTGTGTGTGTGTGTGTGTGTGTGTTGCATTCAGGGTTTTCCAAAAACCTTTCCCCCCTCTCCCCTCAGAAATAAGTCAAGATTTTTTAAAAAGCATAATAAATTTGTAATCAAAAGTCTGATTCTAAGCTCTACCATCCATCAATTGTTTGATCTCAGAGGTACCTCAAATACTTCTTAGCTGTGAGACCCCAGGCAAGTCTAACCTCTGTCTGCCTCAGTTTCCTCAAATCTTCCAAGAGTTGTTCTGAGGATCAAATAAGTTTAAATTTGTAAAGCTCTTTACACAGTTCCTGGCATATAGTAGGCACTTAATAAATGCATGTTCTTTTTCTCTCTTCCTCCCCCCTTCCCTTAAAATGTGGCAGTTGGGCTTCATGGTCTCTAAGGGTTTCTAGTTCTAGGGCTTATCAGGCAGAGTAGGGTTTCTACTAACAACAGGATGTTATTTGGTCCCTAATGGGGCAGTTCTCTGCCCAAAGATCACTTACTGACTAATCTTATTTTCTCTAAACAGGACATAATGGGCAGACAGCCAAAATACATGCAGCCATGTTCAGTATAATGAGATTGAATGCAGACAGAATATCACATAGCAATATATGGTTGGCATTTGAACTCTTTTAATATTTAACATTTTATTAAAATGCATATTTTAGTACATCCCTTCAATGAGAAAGGAGTGCAGGAGTGGCAAGCCTAGTAGAAATATGGCTTCTTACATGGGATAGTTGTCTACAGAAGTCCAGTTGTATCTAAAGGGTAGGTTACCTATGAAGTAACTATTAGGACCATACTGAGTGTGGTGGCACATGACTGTTATCCCTTCTATCAGGGAGGCTGAGGCTGGTGGATCTCAAGACTTCCAGCCTTGAGCTGCAGTTGACTAAGCCAGCTGTCTGCCCTAAGTCTGGCACCAGTATGATCAGCCAATGGGAGATGGGAGCCACCAGGCTGCCTAAGGACAGGAGAATCAGCCTAGATCTGAAGATCAGAAATGGATCAGGTGAAAGTTCCTGTGTCAATCAGGAATGGGATTGGGCCCAGGTGTTTCCATCACATTTACAGCCTGGTGAGATCTGGAGACCTAAATCCAAAACCTTTTTACCCACACATAACATTGTATCTCTTCTCTCTGAATCCTTGCAAGATTATTCTTCACATGTGGCATGCTCTCATTCCTTACCTGTGCCTCTTAGAACCCCTGGCTCCCTCAAGGCTCAGCTCAAGCATCATCTTCCCTTCCTGGCCTTTTCCCATTCCCACCCTTGTTGGTTTCTTCTCTGAAACAATCATTTTATATTTATTTTCATGTGTGTCTTGTATTTATTTATCTGTGAACATGTTATACTACCCTCCTGCCCCACAGAATGTAAGCTCCTTGAGGGCAAGGCCTGTATTGCTTTTTATATTTGCATCCCTAGCACACCATGGTGATTAATAAATGTTTGCTGATTGATTGGTCAAATAACCTCCTTAAAATCAGAGACTGATTTTTATCTTTGCATCCCTAGCACCTTGCCTCAAACCTAGGTACTTAAAATATTTATTGAGTGAATCCATCTGCATATTCATAGAACTCTAGAGTATAAATAACTGTAGTAATCTATCTATCTACCACTCTTAACACATATGAGAGAAATAAGAAACATTTTATCTTTTAAATAACCAGATAAGAGATTCCACTAAGATCCCTTAGTAACTCTG